TTAGCTGTTCTTCTGTGGGTTTAACACAAACGGGTGAAGCTCCCTCCTGACAAACGGTCAACAGATCGGCAACCAAGCAAACACTCTGCAGAGTAAAGAATGGATGCACTTCAGCACTGGAATCAGCAGAACACCACAAGTGATTTGAAATAGCTCTGTCTCTACAGTTTCCTAATAAACATATGTTTTAAAAATCAAAAACATCAGAGGATTACAGACTTTTTTAACCCTCATGAAGAGAACAGATGCTCATTAACTCTTCCCTCTGATAAACGGCCTGCAGGAACACAGCTGGGGAGTGAAAAGAGAGAAAACGGCCACTTTAAGGGGATATTACCCCAAGTAATCTAATTGACCTCCCTGACATGGGTGAAGTTGTAAAACTTTCCCCTTGCATTTAACTCTCACACAAGGACACAACGTACATGCAAAATCCACAATGGCTGAGAAACATAAAGTATGTTCAAGGGGGAGAAAAACGACCACATTGTACATTGGGAGGCCTGATGCATTCATGCTGCATAAAAACAATGAAGGGGAATCTGTCGGAGCAGCAGAATGCTTAATCCTTTCCAGATTTACCCATCAGCATCAAAATCTATTATTAGGCATCTTGGCGTGTCTCATTTACCAAGGACACATTGTTTGGTTGTACTGGTTGGTTGTTTCATTTCAGAACATCATTTCCACATGTTATCTTGAAAGTAGCTCTCAAGAAGGGCTCAACCGATGTTGTCCCTCAACCGTCACCTAACACAACCCACAGGAAAAGAAAACATGCCCTATGTTATCGGACCATCCTCTGTATCGGTGTTGCATCAAAAGTCGTAGCTCAAACAGACACTGCCTGACTTCAAACACCTCACCAAGAGACTGTCATATTTAAATTCACAGCAGCAGTAAAAACTGTTCCCTCGTTGAGGAGCTTTGTTTCCCCACAAACTTTTTGAAAATGTTAAAAAAATATGTGAAAAATATATTTTGAAAATATTACATTTTGTAAAGTTAAGGAATGTTGCTGCAGTTAAAACAAACAGCAGCCAAACAGAAACGTTAACAGGTTATTCTGCTTAATGTGAGCAACCTGACAGACTGCATTCTGTTGTTTAGAAAAACCTGTTGACTGGCAGTGATTTAACGCTGCAGCTCATATGACTGTACAAATTTAGCATGAAGGAGGTGCTAACATGTCGTTTTTACATTTTCTTATCAGCTAAAATAAACTCTGTCAAAAAATAAATAAAATAGCAAGTTTACCCCAAGCCTGAACTAACAACGCAGACTGAGAGCAGGTGTAGCCTGAGGTGGCCCTCAGGATAATTATACAATTAGCTTACATATCCATGCATCTCAAATCCTCACCTATGAATTATGTACTTAGTAGGACTTTGCAGAGAATCATCACATGCCCTGTTTGTTGGCACAAAAGAAAGACAAATAAATGAAAGAAAGAAAGAAAGAAAGAAAGAAAGAATGAAAGAAAGAGTTATACTATTGATATTATTTATTGATACAAACAGCATGTTCTTGTGCCAACACTCACAAAAGCCATTTTCTTTTTATATAAACTTTGTTTATCACTTATTTTTTATGGGTTCATCATTTCTTCTAAATTGACTAAAGTAGAAAGTTTTTAATTTAATTTTAAAATGTAGGGTTTAATGAGCAGCTAATAAACTAATACAGCAGATTTGGTATTTGTAAATAAAACCTACTAGCATTATAGCAGGGATGTAACAGAAATTATTTTTGGTATGCAGAAGTGGAGTTCCAGGTTGGTAAAAAACTTGTGAAGCCTACGTGAGTTACTTTTAATTTGTTATTTGATTGTGTACATTAACTTTGCAATAAATTATGGTGTTTTATGTATTCAGTGTTCATAAATAAAGTATGTTTTTAAGTGTAGTTTAGATGTGTTAAAAAAAAAATTATGTTTTGTAATCTAAAACTGTATGCAAACAATGGTCAAATTTGGACGTTTATTAATGAATGTCTTGATAAACATTTGTGTTTGTGTTGCGTTAATTGAAATGTATGTTATAGTTAATAAATTGCAAATCTTAGCAGCACAAAAACAAAAGAGAAAGTAAATATAGCTAAACCTTGTTGTTGAAACAATAATAATAATGTCTTTGTAAATGTTTGTCTAAGTACCTAAAACTGCTTCTTTGTGTGCATGTCTACTGGTGGACTTGCTTAGCTTCATTTGGCTATGCAAACAAATCAAGAACTTACCTTTGAGATGCAGAGGTCCAAACCAGACTGAAGTTGTGTATTCCTCCAAATGGTTTTGTGTTTCTCTCTCTCTGTGCCTGTAGGTATAAACTGTTGGATTCCTCTTGAGGAACAAGGCTGGAAAGGGTTGGTTCCAGGTAGGTACTGTGCGAGACAGAAAACAAACATATTGGCCCTCTTCTCAGCTGTCAAAACAGAAGCTTTGTGTTTTTGTAATTGTGTGTGTCAATGAGCGGGCAACCGGTGGAAATATGATTGTACAGAGCCTGTCAAAGATATCCCTGCACACCAGGAAAGTCAAACACAATAGACGATCAATCTGCAAATGTTTTCTTCCCTCCCAACGCGGGAAGCTCCACGGAAAAATGTAAAAAATGACAATGATCCGAAAACTTCACCGAGACAAGCGGCATGAAAAAACCCCCCAGAAAAGGGCTCTATACAGATAGAGCGATAGTGGAGAACTTACCTTTTTTTATTCTGGCAGTTACCTCCTTCTCAGTGAGAGCAGCTGGACAGTTTAGTTAGTTTGTTATAATTTGGCGCCTTGTTGTTTTCCGTAATATTTCTCAAGGGTTTGACAGTATAAGTGGAATGTTAAGTATGACTTTGGTATGAAATCAACGCACTACACTGGAAAACGAAGGAGGAGGGAGAAAAAAAAACACTTTCAAGGAGGAGCCATTGGTGCGCGTCAATCAACAAGCTTGGGGGCAGTGACTTCACTCCAGGATCCGCCCACTAAAACCCTGCACATTGAGGGGCAGCTTCCTGCCTTAAAAACCAGCCTCTGACAACATACTTTACGTACATACGCCAATTTATCCGTATTAGATTCAGAAATCCAAACAGACCATATATGTCAGGCTGGATTTGGGGGAATGTGTAGGAAATGCAGTGGTAGAAGAAGTACTCAGATCCTTTACTCAAATAAAGTAGTAACACCACAGTGTATTAATAATACAAGTAAATTACAAAGGTATTATAAGCAAATTGTTCATCCAAAATAAAAAACATTAATTTGACACAGTGGCCCTCTCAGAGTTTTATATTATTATATATTACTGGAATATTGTTATTGATGTGTTAACATATTAGCTGAAACATCATATTTTATAAGTTGTTCCTGAGTTTTGTTTGTGAAATCTACTGGCATAAAAAGTGCAATGTTTGCCTCTGAAATGTGAAGAAGAAGTATGAAGTAGTATGAAATGAGGGTGCAATTACTTTAAAAGTATACTTAAGTACTTGAGCAAAAGTACACAGGCCTAGTTAATGTATATTTCATCACTGATTTAATGATGCAGAAGACATCTATCCTGGTTCCAGGCCTCTCAATCTTTGAATACATTTTCCAGCATTGACCTCTATGATATTTCATAAGTGTGTTCCATATTGAGTTTGCTGTGTTATTAGTGTAACCTCCATGTAAACATTTTTTAAAAAGCTTGATATAATTATACATTTGTATAGTATGCTTGCTTTTTGAAATAGCAAATCAAAACTTTAATGGAATAAATACGTTTCAGTTAGTTGTTTGCCAGCTGAGGTAAAATAAATAATGCAATACATTTTTAAAAATCAGCCAATCAGACTGTTCTTCCCACATTAAATACGCTGTATGTAAACAATTGTTTGTTTGTTTTTTCTTTGAAAATTTCTAAAAGAAAAACTTTGAGCCTATGCCATTTTCCTTCTCTTAGGGCTAATGTATGAGGTGGAAAAACTTTCTATTATTGAGAATGTGTTCATCAATATAAACGATATAAACTTAGACCCTGTGGACACACATCCATCCAGCAACAGCTCCTTCTGTTGGTCAACAACATGGTTGCAAAATCTTAACATGTATTTAGCCATCTTAAAAGCAGAGCTACTGTATATGCAGATGGTGTGAAAATGACTCCCTTATGGATTTACTAATTGTATGAGCATTTATAAATGACAACACTGATCTTGGCAGTTGTTTAGCAGGAACTCCCGTAACTGAAAAAGACAATGGGGGAAGAAGAACTCACCTTACAGCATCTGTCAAGAAGAGCTGCCAGCTTCAGGCTCCATTTAATCTGCGAGTTTGGACAACTGCCTGAGCAGGTTCAGGCAGAATACACACCTCTCACGTCCTCTCAAGGCCCTCGGCTCAAACAGGTTTTTCATCCTGAATGAATCTCCTCTCAACATGTGAGGAAGCTACTGGAGAACAGCGTGGGTGTCTCTTAACACTTGCAACTACAAGGAAGCTTTTATCTGTCATAAAATATATACATACACACATAAGGTCCCTGGCTGCAATCAAACTGGGAACTTTGTTGCCACCGGACACCCAAAATCCATTAATTTCTATTATATGATTTTAATTAAGCACTTTTGGTAACAGAAGCTAAACAGTTACTAAGACAGACACAAGAAGTGGTCAACATGCAACACACCAGTAACATTTACAATAAATGTTGACTTTAAGGAAATTACTTCACACGCTTTATTAAATTACAATAAGCCTATAAATGCAACAAAGGCAGTGTTCAGAGAAATAAATACATTTTACAAAATAGAAACAAAAAACACATAATAGAAAAATCTACAGGAGCAGAAATCAGACCCAATCGTGTAAGATGGGCAGAGAAATCTTCGCAAAAGTAAGAGTGAATACTTTGTCAAAGAATTTAAAAGTAGATACCACGAACTAAAGACACTCCTATTCCAACATGTTATATATTCTATATATGTTACTCTGACAATGCCTGACAACTGGAATTTCTGTTTCAAAGTCAGTGAAAGATGGACAGCCGGTTGTGTAAAACAGCTGTTTTGAGGCTTATACTACATGCTGTACTTCAAATAAAAGTAATTTTTTTTCTCTTTTTTTCTTAAAGCTATCAGTTATTTTGTGAGAGTTAACTGTGTTTAGGTTGTTGATAACTCTTGAATTTGGAACTACACATTCTCGTTATGACTTAATTTTTGGTGTGTTTGCATTTCAGTCACATCAGAAACAAGACATTTATATACAGCCCAATACACAGCAATGAATTGCAACACAACAAAGCCAAAACACAACACAGTTCAACATATTTTAATGATGCTTGTAAACACCCACATTATCAAGGTGTACCATCATCCCCTCAAAAAGCCCACAACTCTCCAGTCAATGGCGTCGTTTAAAGTGTGTCTGTCTGTGATTCACACAAATTCAGACGTTTCCTCTGACAAACCGAGACAAAAACCAGGACTCTCCTGTGCTATGTCGTGTGAGATCAAATGATAATATGAGACCAGTTTTTTTTCTTATTTCTGGCGGGAATCACACGCACATAAGGGCGACAGCGCAGCAGCAGGTATTGTCACATTCAAAGAACCATCATTTGTTAACGGCACCCACCACAGGAAGCGTTGAAGGTGGAGTCCAGAGACATGAGTTGTTCTAATGTGAGTGTATGCGTGATGCATACTGGTTTCAGTGTGAGTAGACAACTGGGGATCCAGTTATTCACAGGCGATTTTACCATCAAAGCTGGAGAGCGCGATGGCAAAGGCCTGCACGGCACACAGTGGGTAGTTGTAGTCCAGCGTAAAAATGTCATCAGCTATTCGTCCAAACTGCATCACAATGTAGTCCACTGAAAAAGGCAAGACGTTCTTTAAATAGGCAGGCAGATATTTACGTAATTAATATGATTCAGGTTCATTTAACGGACAATGCCAACAACTTGGTGTTTAACAGGTATGTTTACCACGTTGACCTTTTTAATTTAGCATATTAGCATGCAGACATTTGCTAATTAGCACAAAACACAAAGTTCAACTGAGGCAGAAAGTATTGGACAAATTGTCTACTTTATTTATTTAAACCTTATCATTGCCAGACAAAACTAAAGAGATCTAAAGTTACGCTTTGTAGATAATAGTAGCATCAGATAGATACATAGATAGATACATAGATACAGAGATAGAGAGATAGACAGATAGATAGCATCAGATAGAGAGATAGATAGAGAGATAGATAGATGGACAGACAGACAGTACTCACAGTCTTTGGTATGGACTATCTGGAAGTTCTTGATGGAGGCCTGGGTGACCCTGCCGTTGAAGTTGAGCACATGAGACGCCGTTTCTTCATTCCAGACAGGCGTCTTGTTGTGAAGCTCGATCATATTTTCCATCCTTCTATTTTGGTGCCTTATCAACAAGCCATCACATTCCTATGAAGAATAGGCAAAACATATGTCAGGAAAACTCCACACCAACAAGAGTAATATTATTTTACATGTTGGCATGTGATGCTCTCACAATTAACGCACAACATGCCATAAATCAAGCTGTGAGCAGTATGGATATATTTGTTGACATTGTGCATAGCAGGGGATTCTGGGATGCCTGATTTGACTAATGAGTCATCTGATGGTTTTAAGCACATGAATCAACAAGTCAAAATATCTACGGTTGGATGTGTCCACTTGATAATCCCAATTACACATTTATTACTTTTTGTAAACTAAAAAGTACAATTTAACACAAGACATATAGTATTAAGAATTTTTGTATACTGATAAACATTCAAGCAATGACCTTACTAAACACAGAAATTGTATGCATAATGGACACTGGCCATTTATACAAGGCCAATTCTCTCTTGTTTAAATCCAGTTGGGGACCATAAGAGACTTTAATGGACATAATGTAACAGCCCAGTCATTTTGACGATTATTTTTTTCTTTCTTTTTCATTTCACTCTACTCTCTTGGGCAAATACATATATATCGTGACCAAGAATTGGCATTTAATGTATGGAATAACAGGTATATCTGAGAAGAAGAGAAAGACTTACTTTTGGAGTTGTTTTGTGTGTGTGTGTGTGTGTGTGTGTGTGTGTGTGTGTGTGTGTGTGTATTTATTAAAGACATGTATACCTGTTTCCCCTGTGAAACACTCATTATGTATGAACTTACTCTATTGCCCCTTGTGACCAAGTCTGTTTAGTATTTTATTCCATTCATTCTTCGGTCTTTTTGCTCTACTCAAAGCAATAAAAAAAGTTTATTAAAAAAACTTACGTTTCTTGGTCGGAGAGGTACTCGCTCGTTGTCCTTATTCATTCCTGGAATAATAACCGTCATCCTTCGGGGCCCTTTCATTCCTAAGACATTTGTTTCCTGATGCCACAAATAAATCAAATCAAGATTTTCACATTTTACCACTTTTGTTTTTTAAATCAAATGTACCCCAAAAAAGTATCCATTAATTTCTTAGATAATAATTAACTTACATAGATGATGCCTGCTAACTCCTGCCGTGCATTAGACATGTCTGGAAGAGCTCTTTCTGGATTCAGAGCATTGTCAAATACAGTGAACTTAGTCCCCATTAAATTGGACCTAGACAATATATTAATTAAAAACTCACAGTAAAAGAATACTATGGTGATATTACACATTTTGAATGCTGCTTTTGAATGAATGATCTTTGAAGTGCTTTACCTCAGCTTTCCAATAAAATTCTCTCCACCTCTAGATAAATTTGTGGCATCAATGGAGATGAGGTAATTTGAAGTTGCACATTTCTTTCGTTTCCTTCCAGCCAAGAGGAATGTCTACAAAGACAAATAAATGACAAGCAGACCAGTTAGATTTAATGAGAGAGAGCAATCCTAAAATGACAATTATATTACTAAATGAACTAATACAAAACTATTGACAGAAATTATATTTCACTTATCTTATTTAATGGTGTGTCTGTTTTTGTCCAAATCTGGAGGACTACTCATTTACATCAATGTTGCTCTGATTGCAAAACATAATATCTGCTAAATGCCAAAACTATGAACTATCAAACTGCAATAAAGATAAATCCCTGACCTTTTTTCCATTGTCTAGGTGAAGGTAATACAGAGGGTAAAGACTCTTATCCATCCCTCTCTGGTCACGAGTCAGTCTGCATTTGATGGTCACACCCTGCGGAGCCGGCTGCATCACAAACTTCTCCAAGTCGTCAAACTCAATCTCAGGTGATGGAGATCTCTCCTGGTCAAGAAGCATGAATATATTCATTTTGATTAAAACCATAAATGATTAACCTCTTTCACTGAAATTAAATGTTGACTTGCCTGTGTGGCATGGCAATAATTTACTTAAATGTATTTTTTATTTATGGGTCATTTATACCTTTTTCTTCTTCCCTTTGCCCTTTTTCTTCTTAGACTTTTCTTCTTTCTCTGAGTCAGAATCATCACTCTCTTCTGCCTTTCCTGAAACATACAACACATTGTTACATACTTGTCAGTGACTCAAAGGGAGGATAAAATTAATGTTAAACCTGCCTTTCTTCTTTGTCTTCTTGTCTTTGTCTTTGTCCTTGTCCCCCGATATTTGGAACATGGATGCTGAGGCGGCAGTGGGTTTCTTTTTTGATTTGGCTGACTTTGTCTCCTCTTCACTCTCATCACTGTCTGATTTGGCAGCTGCTCAGGGAACAGGTATAAAGATTTTTAATTGAATTTGATGCATGATGCAAGATGCATGCTGTACTGTACTATAAAGTCAGTTAAGATGTGAGGTCTCATTTGCAATAAAGGATGTTCAAAGGCTTAGGAAAAGGCAAACCATAATGTTTTCAGCAGTGACCGTTTATCAAAATGTAAACACCTTTCTTCTTGCTTTTTGAGTCTTTTTCTCCATTTATCTGGAACATTGAAGCTGGTTCTTTCTTCTTGTCCTTCTCCTTTGACTTGGACTTTTTTTCTTTTCCATCAGAATCTTTTTCCTCTGAGAAATGAGACACAAATAAAATTTTAAAAATGTTATCTGTCTTGAATGTGATACCAAACTAGAGAATCATGGGCGCACACGCTGAGGAATTCAATCTCTTTTTTTCAAAGGCAAGTACAGTACATTTCGTTCCATTGTGTATTAGATAGTGGACTTGGAGAGATGTATGAAATGAATGGAAATCAAATCCAAACTGTAATCAAGCAGCATGGAGCAGGATTTGAGACCAGGACAGATTTGTAAGAGCAGAACAAATTTTGAGTGTGCAATCCTGATTCTGTGTGAGCTCAGTTTAAAATTTGCTCTCCCTGTTTCTTCCAGCTGTTTTGTAAAATTCTGAATGCTTGAGAACATGAGAGGGATTCAGGTAATAACATGGAAGATATCTAGATGAAGGTTGCCACATTCCTCACTCATATCTAGTGGCACAAGTCTTGTGCCCTCAAAACCTTGATTACACTCACAATGCTGTCAACGCTCACTTTTAAAACACAATGACGAATCTGTCCCAACATGCTCTCATATCTTGACTTGCTGACTGATTATTGCCCAAAGCTTCCTGTATAGTTTTGGTATTAATGAACTTTTGCCTTTTTACATATCTAGTAGATACAGAGCAACTTTAGCACTCTATTATAACTTCTATCTTTATAGAAGTTTCTGCTGCCGCACCACCAGATTGACTTTACATTTAAATTCATCCTAAGCACTGCTTCATTGAATATAGTATATTTGTTTTTACCATTTTTAAAATTGCTTCTATAGTAATGTATATTGTCTGCTACATAGAAGAAGGGAGTTACAGACTCATTTTCACTCTATAACCTGTTGTATTGTGACAAAATAAATCTACCTACCTACCTATTAATTCGGAGTCATGTTTCTGGCCATCTGTAAGTCCATTATTGACTTTTATTTTAGTTTGTGCTGAGCAAGTTAACAGACCTTTTTTGCTGAAAACAGCTGCCTCAGCACAAAACAATGCTATGAGAGTGGAGAGAGTGAACTAAAACATTAAGCTCTGAGCCAGAAAACCAAACCAATGAGCTGAAAGATGCTAAAAACCTCAGTGAACTGACTGCAAATACAGAGTCGAGTGATAACTCTCCGTTTGTTCATCACCTTACCGTTCATTACCTTTCAACAAAAGTAGTCATGTGAACCGATGTTAATAAAAAATAAGTATTATAGGTGCTTAAACAAAAGCTTTATAGGCCTAGTTCATCATATTAATAGTACCAAAGGTGATACTTGAACTTTTAGGATAAAGCTTTTATAGACGTGGAGAATCTTCTTTGAACAATATCTAATACAAACATGAAAATGCTGATATTGTACTGATATTGTGCAAGAGACAGGGCTAGCTGCAGTAGCAAACATATTGCCAACCATAAATTAGGCTACCTATATAATGAATCAATTTCAGTGGTTACCATACACTGAGCACCTGGCTTTCCTTTGCAGGAGGAGCAGGGAGCCACAAACACAAGTTAGAGCAGGTTGATCTGAGGTGGAGGAAGGTTAAGCTCTGAGGCAAAAGCTCTGGAGATGATCCAGCCAATTTATTACAAACAGCAACATTCTGGGCTATATCATACAGTAATTCAATAATGACGTGACAAATTGCTCAATTTAAAGTTATATCTCTGCAATGTTTTTCACTTGATTTTAGCTCAAGTAAGACAAAGGAATAATTAGCTACACTTATCAGAAGCTGTGTAAGACAGGTTTTTCCACATTCTTACTGTTTTTTCAAAAGGAAGAATTAGTGACATTGAGCTAAATGTTAACGTCAGCATGCTAACATCCTCATAATGACAACACGCTGATGTTAAGCAGGTATATTGTTTACCCTAGAGACATGCTGCTAGCGTGGCTAATTAAAAAGGTTAAGTGTGAAGAAATGCCAAAATCTTATTAGGACTTACCAAAATGTTCAGTCCTCTTTTAAAATCAACACCAACTGACACTAAAGTGGAGAACATCATAGCCTGAAATTATGAGGATTTGACTGTTGCAGTCATTTTAATTACACTTCCCACAGTTGATTACCTAAGGGCAAGCTACTCACTTGATTGCTGTGTTTGTTTCCTCTGCAACTAAGTCAGTGTTTCCACTCACTCACCATTACACAATAAAATGATCTAATCCTCTTAATCTGGTCTTAAAACTGTTGTTTAGATTACCCTGTTGGCCTTGTTTGGCCTTAATGACAAAACCATGATCTTTCTTCTTGCAATACCTTTGGGTTTTGATTTTTTATCTTTGGCAGAATGTGCGGGTGGAGAGGTGTCCTTGATTGTCTTTTTCTTAGTCTTCTTTTTCGGAGTGTCTTCTGCATCATTGTCATCATCATCGTCATCATCTGTGCCTGAACCTGCATAGATGAACAACATTTATTAAACTATTTTTTACATTTGAAGTGTTTATTTGTATGACATTTAATTAAAGAAAAGTCTTCAAGGTTTTCACACTACCTAGTTTTAACACGCCACTAATGACGTACCTTTCTTCTTTTTTGGAGCACTTTTGGCTTTCTTTTTTGGCTCTTTTTCTTTTTCCTTTTCTGGTTCTTCTTTATCTTTTTCTGGTTTCTTTTTCTTCACCTTCTTTCCATCTGTAATGTTGATAAGGAAACAGCGGTGTAACCAATGTAGTGAGATTACAGTAGAGATACAGAAACATGCAAAATATCACAGTTTGTCATCTACTTTCTTCGTAAGAAATGATTAAAAAATCATAGCCTCTTCCTCACTTTGGATGGCAGGACTGTCCTCTTCGGATACATCTTCACTTTTCTTGGTCTTTGTTTTTTTGGGCTTGGCCTCTTTTCCATTTAGCTTGGCTTCTGTTGAGCCATTTGCCTCATCTTTCTTCTTTTTTGGCTTCTATGGATTTTCTTTAAAGATACAAAACAGATTAGAGGTGAGACTTGTGGAAGAAGGTCAGGAGAGAACAGATGACAAAACTGAACATGAGAAAAACTGGGAGACAGATAAAACAAATTTTGGAATATTTAAATAAAAATTGCAGCATCATGAGATCTTTATCAATAATAATGACTCACCAGTCAGATGTAAAGGGAAGCAATGGGTTGAAATGAAAAGAAAATATTTAGAGGGATTGTATTATTACTACTTCTACAGCTCAACATTGTTGATCTAGCATACAATAGAAAGTATTCATTTTATGTTACACGGTTCGCATTAAAATGTATAAAGAATATCTTTATATTGTTCTGTAATAGCAAATGTAGTAATAGACATGTTTAGCTTCTGGTAAAGCTGTATGTTGAGCTGCTGATGTCAATTTGGATTTACTGTTTAGGTACAGGAAGTCAATGAAGCAACAGGCATGATAACAATGATACAATCCCCACACCTGCATTTTCTAGAATTGAAAAATCTGTTACTATTTCTGATAATACAGCAACACATAGTTAAACGTTTCGTTACTGTTTTATTTAAAACTTGCTCAGGCCTCCTCCTGAGTACTAACAAACTAAAAATAACACAATTACAGTAAATCACAAACACACTTTACATCACACATATTAGAGGATACAAGAAAGCAAGCCTCTTTTTTGTCTGTTCTGTATTTTTTTTTAAATGTAAATCTTCACTACTTTCTCCAATTTCCTGTTTTCAGCTTTCATCTGGGCCTTTAGACACAAGAGCTTAAGGCAAAGTCCAAAGGGGGCTCAAACCTACTCCTCTATGTGACCAGACACTTTCACATAAAATATATCCACGTTACAATTACTAAGAAGGGAACCCAGTTGTGTTTATACCAAGTATTTCATAAGTGTGAGGAATCTGAAGACTAAACCTTTGTAAGTGACAGGCACAACGTGTCACTGTCCCAAGTCACACTGAAGGAGGTCAGTGTGATTGCGGCCAGCAGAGACAGTAAAGGTAATCCTATTAGAGGTAGATCCTGCATCGATGGACTATCTGTCTATCTGGTCTATTTGTGTCCACAACTCTTAAGTAATGGCAGATTTGACATTTGTCATATTGCAATTAATTGCTGGGTCAAAATTGTCAAATGTTATTTTACACAAGTTTGAACTTTTTTTGCAGAATTACTAGACAGTTCTTCACTAACAACTTTTATTCTTCTCTATTTCTTTTCATAAGAAAAGTGTCTTGTGTCATAAGAAACTTGCTGCTGCCACAGATCATTTTCATGTGCTTGGTTATTACTCTAATCAAAGCATTGCTAAAAAAGTGGGTTAACTGTTGGCAATACAAAAAAAATCCTTTCATAATAAATAAAATAGACATTAAAGAAGGAAATGCAAAAAGGAAGTTACATTTGGTTAGTTGCAGTCACATTTGGTTTGGACGTCACCACAGCAGCACTATAAGTGGTTTGGGTGACTGGATGCCTAGAGTGATGCTTTTCAGTTTCGAAGTCTTGTCTGAATAGGGTCTCTGTTGGATAATCTGTAAAACTCTAATACAATACTTCCCATATTGGCGTTTTTATCCAGTGCAGTTAACTCACATGTGGGTCAGAGATTATTGTCTATGTAATTGTTCTTCTACATGTGTTTGATTAATATTTAAATAACTGAAGTATTCTACATCACAAACTAAACACAAGGCAATAAAAAGATTGAAAAATGTCTCATGAAAGCATTGCACCCCAACTCCAAACTCTGCACTTTAACTGTAAGATTGTTGTATGACAAGAGCAGAAGTGGTATTTGACCCTTATTAAAGTAACTTTTGTTACCCCTCAGGTCTCACTCTACAAATATTATTACATGTCATCACTAGGCAGCTGAATAAACACTGAGAAGTAATCTTATTTGATAGAGTCAATTAAAAAAAATCCACAAAACCACAACCCCACCCTTTTACCTTCTCTGCTGACATGGCAAGGCCTCCGACTTTCTACCACCGCTTCTCCTTAGAGGTTAGAAAATAAAAAAGCAGGCTTCTCAGCAGAGATAATGAAAGAGTGAGAAAGCCTTGCACTCACTGCGTCTCCATCAGCAGAAAGTTGTTAATAGGATTTATGTATAAAGCCATCTGCTCTGTAGAAACACGTCAACGGGTGAAACCAACAAAGGCTCAGGGGGAGGGAGAAGACTTGTTTATCACATTTGTCCAATATCCGAGACCTGAAACTCATTTTTGTGTCCGGGACATCCGTGTCAGCTTCACACCTATTGTACTTTAGATCAGACAGCCAGCAATGTCAGTAAAGTCTATCATCTTTGTTCACTATTTTTTCAACAGTTTCAATAGATGGAATGGGATTCTATATTTTCTTAACCTTAAATTTAAATAAAATATTTTCCTGCAGCAGTGGGTCTGAAGCAGAATCCTCATCCTCTTGACTCCTGGGGAAAAAACAATGATAAATGCAAGTTGTTAACAAAATGTAACAATATTACTAAGTTAGCCATTTGTCAGTATGGTAGCAATTCCAAAGTTCCATCCATAAATTATATTATTGTATAATTTTAGTGTCAACAAAATACTCAATGTTCCTAAAAGGCAGGCTTTTATTTTGCTATACCGTACATAATCTGAATCACCTGCTTGTACATGTGTGATCTGAAATAGGGCTATACCTAACGATTATTTTCTTTATTGATTTACCTGTCAATTATTTAAATGATTAGCTGTTTGGTACTCTCTTTCTTAGCATCATCTAGGCATCTTAGGATCCATGTATAACAGCAGTCAAGATGGTGTCAAAAGCTTCTCATCTTGCACTTCCCATAGCCCAGTGAGCTCTGTGGTATCAAGTGTGATTGTTACATTAACAGGTCACAGGTAACAAGGTATGGGAATCGGGCCTAAGTAGGTCTGCCTGACAGCAATGATTAAAGCCTCACCTCTCTTATTGGTTTAGTACCACTTGGCTAGTACCAGCGGAAAGTGGGGGTGTTAAAGCAGTAAAAACCATTCAGAACACCACAAGTCCTCAGGGGATATCTAACACTTAGATGGCTTCATACGAAAACATCTTAGACATACATGTGCACAGTTCTATATTGTTGTGTGGTAATGTTGACATACCTGTCCCATGTCCAGGCCTCTTTCACGATGTGATTGTGGAGGGGCATGGCTGATGTGTAAAAAAGTTACATCCAGATTTTGGTCTTAATGAGCAAACAGGTGAAAGAGAGTGTACAGACAGAAGGACATTCATTGCAAATCACTGCATTTAAACCTGCATGTAAAAGGTATATCAGTATGAATGTAAAAACGTGCATTACATACAATCTCTCACCATGTATGTAATTGGTTTTCTAAGCAGCAGTGTGATTGTCTCCATCTGGCTTGTGAATGCCCACAATGCTCCATACACATCCTGTACCCCACGGAGGGGTCATATGACCCGACTACTAAGAGGATTTTTAACAAAGCAACAGGTCCCTCCATTGACTATCACACAACCAGGACGCCCGACCCTTCAACTGGGATTACACTAATCATCTACTCACCATCTGTGAGCATTTCTAGGATTTTCATTGAAAAGCTGTGGATGTTCCCAAGGAAAAGAAATATGGCTCGTGTGTGAATTCACTTTACTGGGGGAAAGTGAAATAGTTTCAGATTAAACAAAATGGGCATGGTTTAAATTCACCTATGTTTAATTAAATCATGAGCAGAGGTTAACAAACGATCACTTTATAATAAAAGTCTTCTTTGCTGTCAAGAAAACAAATTTACTGTCACCAGGTTTATAATAACAAAATGATATGTTAGTTTCACCAAACATTTTCCTTGTTTGTTTCCTTTTGCTATGTGCATTTCTTTACCAAGTAAATGTCTTGTCGATCATGGGGTCTTTAGCTTTTATATGATATATCTGAATATGAAAAACACATATCAAAAACAAATGATAAAAGTGCACAATCATCAAGAGTCTTGGTATTAGAGAGGGTGGTTTATGGCCAGAAGATCTCTTGTTTGAATGCCTGACAAGCTGGAAAAATCCAGGTATAAAGTTGGAAAGTAAAAAGGAAAGGGTCTCACAGCTTCAGGTAAAATGCCTTTAATAATATAATCTCCATTTCCTCCAGTGGAGCAGCTCTGTAGCCTGTATTTGACCAAGAGCACAACAGTATGAGCATAAAGCAGAATGTGTTAAAAAAAAAAAAAAAAAATTCAATACAGTGTGATGTCCTCAGTCAACCACTAGATGTTGCTGTACCCCAAGAGACGAAAAACAATGCAAGAAACAGCTGTGAGGCACCAGGGGGCACATGGAGGTACTGTAATTCAATTAATGCTTGTTTATGTAAAATAACTGACTAAACCTCAATCGTGAAAGGTATAAAATATTTATAAATATCCATCGTAAAGATGGTTTTCTACAAGCTCAAACCCAATCTCAGTCCTGTCAGGTGGCAGTCTCATAGCTCACAAGAGGCGATGCGAGAAGAGTAATCACAGCTGAAGTGAACAATAACACATGATAGAAAATAAAGAAGGAAGTGTAACGTGCTGTAGTTTTATAAGACCAGACCCTTAGCATCACTGTGCTGCTCACGCTGTCCAGTCTGCTGACTGTTGAAAAGGGTCTAGACTAATGGCTTTGCTGGCATTTCTGCAAATGCTTGACAGTAACATGGCAGTTGGCAGGCGGCCTAAGGAAGGCCAGCGACCTCAAGGGAGCAGCGGAGAAGCCATCAAGATCTTAAAGGGACAGAAACAGTGGGTTTCTCACCATACCGTGTTCATACGGTGTCAGTTGTGTTTTATTACTGCGTGCAAGATGGTAAACATTGTTGAAGCAATGAGAAGCAGCAGGGTTACACTAGAGGCTTTAAAACCCACTCTTACTATACAACTGTAACAACAAGCCTGAATGAAATGAAAACACATTAATCAAAGTTATGGTGAAACGGGGACCATTCAAAGTAGTTCTGCAACAGTGCAAACACTAAAGAAGAATTATGTTAAATACATAAAGGTAGAGCTTCCATTGGCAGTGACCTGTGTTTGAGGAGGGAGTATGATGATGATATTTTAGTTCACCCGCGGTTTTAGTGCTGAAACAGCACGTTGTTGAGGACGTGAACCTGGTGGAACTGTAAAGCTGGGTGAATCATCAACTCAGAGAGGGCCCATATCTCAGGAAGGACAAACAATGAAGACGAAACAGGAAAATCTAGAGTAAATGAATCTATTCCCAAAGGAAGGATTGTTCAAGGAAGGTGGAGGGGTACAAAAGAAGACAATGGCAGGAGGTCTCGTCCATTCATTATAAATGGAAAGATGTTATTCAGGAGCAAAAATAGTCTCTAGGGTTGAAGGTAAAATGAAACTCACAATCTCACATTGTTAATTCAACAAGGTCACATCCTGAAAAATGGAGAGAGATGTTTTTCTATTCTGAGGTTGTAATCACTGGTACGGAAAAAAGTATACCTTTTGGACTGACGGTGGCGCCAGAGGAAAGTGTGGTTATTGAATCAAATCAAGGCCGCGGCTCAGCTTGTCAGGCTGAGCTCTACATTGCTAGGTTTTCTTTAGCTATACTTTGTCCTTGTGAACTAACAATTCTTGATATTTTTAAACATGCTAATTGTTTGCTAACGTTAATGTTAAGATTGGTTTACCAATGTTACGTAGCAATTTGTTTGATATGAAACTAATTCTCAGAAGCCAGTAACCCCATTTCAAAGGTTTACAAGGAAAAAATTTACGAGAAAAGTTACAAGATCCATTTGTTATCTCTGGTTGTGATCAAAAACTTAGTTGGTTCCCGGACTAATTAAGTCCAACTGAGAGATAGGCCATCACTTCATCGATATTTAAGTTATGAGCATCTCAGAAATGGACTAATTAGCAACAACACTTATTCACTTTCCAAATATCCAGAACACATGATAATTTCACCTGATAATAAAGAATTTCAAAATGGTATATACATTTGTATTTTATACCACACTATATCACAACATTTATCTTTTTTTCCTATATGGAATTCTCATGCTTATAGTCTGAATTCATTTGTTGATGTGTACTGTTACTGCAACATACTATGTTAGCATTGATCTCAAAATTCTGAGGCTGGTGAGAAGTTGGCCATTTGTTTTAGAGACACACTGTCATAAATTGAGTTATGGAACATTTAACCTGTTAAAGACATTAGATGAAAAGGCAAGCATCACCTAAATCTTCTGGGAACCATGCACGTCTAAACCAAATTTCACGGAAATACATTTTATTCACTGACCATTGACCAGTATTGCCACTCCTGACATCAATCACATGGCTGAAAAATCTACTAGGCCAGCAAAAATATACACAGACCTCAGAACTCCATTTGATACTGTTTTGTTAGGAGACCTTTAACAAGTTTTGTTTTGGGATATGATTTGGTAAAAACAAAACATAATAAATGCACTTTTTTAGCTGGTCAAGTGAAATGTCTAATCAAAACTTCACATAAATATTGTAATGCTTATATGAAACTACTCCACTTATATTTATGGGTAATATCCCCCTGAAGGTTCCCCGAGTTTCCCACTTTGTAAACCTGTATAAGAATTTTCTATTGCAGTCTCGGGATCTATCAAGTTATCAAGGGTTATCAAGTTTCTGTCCCTCTCAACATAAAAGTGTCTCTGTACGCATGTGGTCTTCACTGGACCACCAAGATTGGCTTGTTGAGTAGATAAGAGACCAAGCTGAAACAAAAGTTCCCCATGAAGGCTCCAGTAGCAATGTGCAAAATCTAATAAAGAGCATATTGAGAATACTCCTTCACGCACGCTTCCCAGCAAGATAATAGGTGATCATATTATAGGTTTACAACGCATAATGCATTACTTGCCCTTATTGACCCATAAGAGAAAAGGAGAGGCCACTGAAATGCACAATGACGTGCACAATGCACAGTTATCATA